TTTGGTGATGGTGAAGGAGAAGAGGCAGTCATGGTTGGGAGCTTGGAGGAGTTGTTCATGGTGAGGGTGAAGAGAGAAAGAGAGAGGGGGGCGGATGGGTTTGGTTTTAGGTTTAGGAAATGAAAAATGAAGATTAGGAGGGGTTAGGTCATTTGGGGTTATGGGGCGGACCGGGTCGACCCGTGTTGAAATGGACCGGGTCATGGGGAAGGTTGGGTATTTTTTTGGGCCTGTGGTTTGAAATTGAAGAAGAGGCCCAATTCCGATTTTCTTTATATTTTTTGCTCTATTTTTCTTCTATTTTCTAATTAATAAAACTAAAATTCTAAATTAAGTTATAAACTAAATTAACTTATCAAAAATACTAATTAATTCCTAGAGACAACTATCATACATAATTTAAGCATAAAATTGTACAATTGGACATTAAATGCTAAAAATGCAAAAAAATACATATTTTTATGATTTTTTTATTTTGTAAAACAAACTTAACTACTCCTAACTGTAGAATTAAATATTAAATGCAAATGCGACATATTTTATATATTTTTTTATCAATTTAACAAATAAACATGCACAGACAAATACAAATAATTATCCAAAAATGTCACAAAAATTCTCAAAATTACACACAAAGAAAAATTGTTTTATTTTGAATTTTTGGGAGTAATTCTCACATAGGGCAAAAATCACGTGTTTACAGGTGTTGAATTGAGTTTCAAACAATGGAGAAGAAAGACTTTAGAATGGACAGAGCCTTGCCCTTGTGACTTAAGAGATGTGTCCAGGTGTTCCTACTACAATCATCCACAATGTGAGAAAATATCTATAAGATCTATGTGTGGCAGTGTGATAAGGACCCCAAACATCCACAAGAATAAGATCAAATATATGTGAAGAATGAGAATTACTATCAGGAAAAGAATTTCTTTGTTGTCTAGAAAGTGGACATATATCACAAATGAAAGGTTGTTTATTAGAAAACGGTATACTCAAAGAGTTTATTTTCTGTAATTTCGAAAATGGGAGGTACCTATTATGCCACAGAAGTTGGGACTTATTTACACTTAATGTGTTTGCATGAACAGAAAAGAAAATTAAAGCAGGACAATGAGAGGTTGATGAGGATCGAGAAGGTGTCACTGAAGATTGTGTTATGGAATTATAGAGATAGAGCCCTTCAATCATCTTATTGTGATGACACAAAAATATCATCTTTAAATTAAATAATCATCTTGGTATTTTAAGATATTGAAAAGTACTATCAATAATTTTTCGACTTGCGTGTACAGTACATATAATTTTTCGGAAGGTTTTTATGTGAAAACTAGATTAAATTGTGAACTAGAACTTTAAAAACTCAACTAAGTTGACTTCGGTCAACATTTTGAGCAAACGAATCCAGATAAAAGTTTTGCCATTCCGGTAGTTCCGTATCGTGATTTAGGACTTGGTCATATGCCCGAAATCGAATTTGGAGGTCCCTAGATCAAATTATCGCCATTTAACGGAATCTAGAAATCTAAGGCTAAAGATTTCTTAAGTTTGACCGGAGATTTGACTTTTGAGAAAAAGACCTCGGAATGGAATTTTGATGATTCCAATAGTTTTGTATGGTGATTTTGGACTTAGGAGCATGTTCGGATATGGATTTGGAAGTCCGTAGGACAATTCAGCGGATTTTGGCGAAAGTTGGAAAATAGAAGATTTTTGGAAAAGTTTGACCGAGAGTTGAATTTTTGATATCGGGGTCGAAATCCAGTTCTGAATTTTTTCATAGCTTCGTTATTTCATTTATGACTTGTGTGCAAAATTTGAAGTCAATCGGACTTGATTTGATAGGTTTTTGCATCGAATATAGAAGTTGGACGTTCTTAGTTTCATTAGGCTTGAATTGGAGTGTGATTCACGATTTTAGCATTATTTGATGTGATTTGAGGTTTTGACTAAGTCCGTATCATGTTTTAGGACTTGTTGGTGTATTTTTGTTGAAGTCCCGAGGGCCTCGGGTGGATTTCGGAAGGTTAACGGAAGGCTGCTGAATTTTCTCTTTGGATAGCTGCTGATTTTTTTATAGCATATAAACAGTACCCATAAACAGTACCCGTGAATAGTACCCCGTGAACAGTATCCTTGAACAGTACTCCGTGAACAGTACCCAAAATTTTCTGGACAGAATGTTAAGTTCCGAAAATTGTCCCATTTTCCATTTTTACCAAATTGGAGCTCGGGGAGAGGCGATTTTCGGAAGATTTTCAGAGAAAACAACGGGGTAAGTGTTCTTAACTTAATTTTGGTTAGATTACCCGAATCTATTACTAGTTTGATATTAAATCTGTGAATTTAGTTGGAAGAGTTTGAAAACCCTCTTGGATAGATTCGAGGATTTGAGGGTCGAAATATCATCGAAATTTAATAATTTTGGTATGGTTAGACTCGGGGTTGGATGAGGTTTCATATTTCACAACTTTCGTCGAATTCCGATACGTGGGCCCCACGGGCGAATTTTTAGTGCAATTTCGAATTTTTAATGGAAAATGTAGAATTCCATGTGGAATTAATTCCTATATTTTTTATTGACTTAATCGAATTATTGTGGCTAGATTCGAGGAACTCGGAGGTTGATTTGAGAGGCAAAGGCATTACATAGTAGGATTTTTTCTTGGATTGAGGTAACTAACGGTTATAAATCTGGTCCTGAGGGTATGAAACCCCGGACATTGTGTTGTATGACTATTTTGGAGGTGACACACATGCTAGGTGACGGGCGTGTGAGCGTGTACCGTAGAGATTGTGACTTGGTCCGTCCCGCGAGACTGTGAAATTAATTGGCCTACTGTTTAATACATGTTTCCTCTATTTTTATAGAAATTGATTGTACTTCATGTTAGAAAACATGTTTAGGCCTTATGTGATCACTGCTGAGACCTGTGAGGTCGTGTACTTGCTGAATTAGCTGCTAATTATTGTTTTGTACTCAGTCATAGCTTTTTTTGCTTATTACACCTCCGTCTCTTACTGTTCATTGTTGATACATGACATTCCCTCTGTTTGGGTTGTTTATATGATTTTTGAGAGCCCGAGAGACTGGAGAGATTGATAACTGAGTGAGGTCGAGGGCCTAGTTGTGAGGTTATTGATATTATAGCACGTGAGTTGTCTGTGTAGCATGTGAGTTGTCCCTGCGGATCCAGATATTATATTGTAGCATGTGAGTTGTCTATGCAACACGTGAGTTATCCGTGCGGATCCAGATACTATATTATTGTAGCACGTGAGTTGTCCGTGCAGCACGTGAGTTGTCCGTGCAGTTTATAGCGCTTGGGGTGAAAGAGCCCCTCCGGAGTCTGTACACACCCCTAGTGAGCGCGGGTACCTGCTGAGTGCGATTGCTGAGTGCGAGTGCCGAGTACTGCGAGACTGGAAGGAATGATTGAATATGAGAAATGAGTGATTGCGAGGTTGGAGTGAATGGGAGGACAAAGTGACTGTTATTCTGAGAAAATACATTTACTTCATTACTGTTGCATCGCAGATGTCATATCACTGTTTTGAAAATTATTGGAAGATATTATTTACTGCTCAGTCAAATTTGATATCTGGTTTATTGAGTACGTACGGATGTGACTTAAACTGTTAAATTAAAAGTATGACTACTCTTATTTGAAAGTTATTTAGATAATTGTATTTGCATAGCTCGTCACTACTTATCACTTCCTTATTTATTTCTGTTACTTACTGAGTTGGTGTACTCACGTTATCCCCTGTACCTCGTGTATAGATGGAGACACTTCTAGTCATGGCGGTTGCTAATTGAGGAGTCAGACTCATGAGACTATTAAGGTACCTGCATGGCGTTCGCTGACCTTGACTATCCTTTCCTTTCATATTCTACTGTTCTATATTTTCAGACAGTGTTTTATCAATCGGATGTTGTTATCATTTAAATGCTCATGCACTCAGTGACACTGAGTTTTGGGGATGGATTGTCTAGTATTTTTGGAGTTATATTCTGCTCTAAAAGATTTTATTTAATATTAACTACTTCCACCTTTATTTAAAAGTTCTGTGTTGAGATGTTGAGTTGAGGCTTTCCTTGTACCACGATAGGCGTCATCACGATGGGTGAGATTTTGGGTTGTGACACTTACCAAGTATCAATGGCATCCTCAGAGAAGGGCCATGTAGTAGAAAACATGCATGTTGAGAAAAACATAGCAATGATAAAGTATCAACTAATAACTTATGGACTAAAATGAGATTGTATTTAAAAGTAGGCACATATAGCACCTTGGACAAAATGACTGAAGAGTTTAATTTGACAGAACCAATTGTGGTCACTTTGACTTTATACCCATTGGGTAATGTGATGAGGTAGGGAACATATAAAGTTGTTATATTTGTAAGCGAATATTTGTTAAATGTCATGTGAACTGATGTTCCAGAATCTAGTATCCAGGTTTCAGAAGTTAGAACACTACTTAAACAAGTACAATTACCACAACTCATCAGATGGGCAGATGAAGCAAAAATACCTGCAAAATTAGCTGTGGCAAATTGGCTTTGAGAATCATTAGAACCAACTTGAATATGTTGAAGGATAGTCATGTGCTGCTTGTATTGATCAGGTATGATGGTGTTGGCAATATTGATGTTATTGTCATAAGACCTGTTAGGCTTAGCATCAGAAGATGAATGGACATGTGCAGCAACTCGGATATTCTTGTTCCCTGATTTTGAAGGTCGTGGAAATCCATGTAACTTATAGCACTTCTCAATTACATGTCCTGGCTTTTTACAATATCTACAATATGGCATTTTTGGATCATATCCTCTCTCCTGATTGTTGAAACTTGGATTTAGATTGTTAAAAATATATATATCTGTGTGAAATTTGTGGTTTGTGGTGGTTTTGGAGTATATGTAGGACCGTTAGACCTAGCAGAAAAAGCTTCAGAGTCAGATTAAAAACCAAATACATTGTGAATCCCTCGCTGCTTCTAGTCTTGAACAACCAGAGAATGAGCCTTGCCAACTTCAGGAAGTGGCTGCATCATCAGAATATTTCCTCTAGCATTGTTGAATACCTCATTCAAACCCATCAAAAACTGCATCAATTTCTGATTTTCCATCCTTTTGATCATTTTGTGTTTACCTCCACATTTGCATTCGCAAACACAAAAGGAATCAGCATCAAGTGACTCCATTTCATCCTGGAGTCTTTTAACCCTAGTGAAATAACTTCCTACATCAGAAGAACCTTGAAATATAGTGCTTAGGTCTTTTTGAACTTCATACATCTTAGCACCATTTGCTTGCCCATACCTTTGGTTCAATTTATCCCATAGTCTCTTAGCAGACTTAGAGTATATAACACTTTGTGAAATATCGGGGTCTAAGGAATTAAGAATCCAACTGATTATCATGTTATTTATTACACTATTCCCAGTGTTCAAACAAAGGAGAATCGAGGGAGGGTTGGACATAGCTCCCATTAATGAATCCTAATTTCTTCTTTGCCCCCAAAGCTATGATAATGCCTCTTCTCTAGGCTCCATAACAGTCCCCATTGAATTATTTTGTCCCGAGAACAGTACCAGGATTGTCAGAAGGATGAAGATAGAGTGGGTGAGAAGGAGGTAAAATAAAATCAGTTTGAGTAAAAGTAGGAGAGTTAGGGCCGATTTCAGAGGCGGCTGCAACATTTTCATTTTTTTCCACGAGTAAAGAGAAAAACTAGGGCATAGACGATAAAATCTCAAAGAAACCTGTGAAATGAATGAGTTGAAGTAAGAAAAATTACCAAAACAACGAAAGAATTCTTCGAACAACAGAACCAATAAATCGGCAAAACCGAACTCGTCGCTGTTGAGTACCACCGAGCAACCACAATTTCAATCCAAAATTTGAAGAAAACAGCCGCTAAATCACGAATTTCAGTCACAATAAGCTTCGAAAAACACTGGATTCATCATAAAATTTGGCTAGAATCTTCGAAAAAATTGGAAAGGAAGAAACTAGGTTTTCGAATTTTCTGGAAATAGGAAGAAACAGGGGAATTAAGGTACTATAAATCGAAAAATACATTGGATCTTTGATGATAATGCTCTGATACCATGTTAGATTGTATGAGATCAAGCAAAAATGGTGAACAAATTGGAAATCTAAACGAGAGGAAGAAGGTTCCAGAGAGAAAAAGACTTTCTGATATTTTTACATAATGACCCATAGGTCTCAAATCCGGATTCTCAAATGTATATATACAAGCTCAAATGTATATCTGACTAAACTATTAATTACAAAGTCCAAATGTACATCCCAATGTAAGTCCAACTGTACTTAGTTTTTCGTTGCATTTTTAGAGGATACACCACCAACAATTGGTAAGATGCAAAACAAAGTGAAATTAATTTGTTATAAAATTGTGTTGGTGCACTGGAATATTGGATTCAAGTACTTGTGCAAAGTTTGTTTGAATGGAAAATTCCATCTGCTGTCATTTTCAAGAACTGGTGTTTAATTTTTGTTTTATTTTTAAAAGTTGAGCAAATATAGACCCAGCGGCATATATCTCCTCCTCCTCCTCCAATTTAGCTCAAATATAGGGCGACGAGACACAACTAATAGATAGTTACTTGAAGGACACGTTGTTGTATATCATTTAGAAATTTACTTTGCGACTTTTATCTTGATAAAGGCATGCATTATATGATTGGTTCCTTTACAATTAATGCATATCCAATCAATAAGTTTGGATTAAGTAGACGTATTGAAGGCTAAGAAACTTCATAATTGTGGTTGGTATACGCATTTCTGCTTATACTGAATTCTTCTTTTGCGGCTTCAGCGAAGTCTAAAGTTTTGGTGGGATCGAAGGCATTTTCGTATGAAAATATGGCATTTGCAATGCCAAGTTGGGCATAATTAAGATGAAGTTATGGCAGTTGCAATTCCCAGAGTTCGTTGGCCGTTGTTATAGTTGAATAACAGATGCAAGTTTTGTCAATATATTATCCATCAAAGCTCGTAAAAAGTTAAAAAGATTGATAGAATAATGATAGTAAAAAGTCTTGTATGTCCAGAAAAACTTGTAAACAATTGAATAATATATATAATTTTGCCAATCCGACATAACTTGAGGTCAACAATTTGTACAAGTTATCCATCCGGCGGAACTTTGCGGATAATTTGTCTCAAAATTATGCTTTGTTCGGTATTACTTGTGAATAAGACAAGTTTTGTTAATTTTGGCAAGACTTGGGCACCAAAGTTACGTGTCAAAGCTATTTCTACACAAATTTTTAAATTACGCCAATTGTTTCTGCTTATGTTCCTACCTTTTCTCTTACAATTTGGGATAATTATGACGGTTTGTCAAATGTGAAAAAGACAAAACATTCATACTTTCTCAAAATTCAAAACTTTTTGTGTGTTTGGCTTATTTCTTCATTCATGATTTCGATTCAAATTCGTTCAGATAAAAAGGACAAGAATCACATATCCGAACACTTCAGAAGTTCCTATTTGACTTATTCTCAAGATGTGCTTTTATTTCATTGTTGCTATCTATTCAAAGTGAAATGTTGCAGCCATGACAGAAACTGGCCAAACATATACTTATTGATCTTTTCACCGGGAGTACCCTCTACTAATTAACCTGAACATGCTTGTGCAGTTGCATCAACCATCTCCTCACTCTCAATTCCAGCATTGCATATGTTGGCGATACCACGTACATGTTTCTTCCCGTACGCGGTTAATTTTCCACAGTGTGCCTCGAATGTCTTGACCTATTCATGAGTAAAGACTAGTCACATTCTCAACAAACGAACTAAGTAACAGAGAAAGTACCACAAAATATTAATAATTAGGTTGACTACTTACATAGGATTTAAGGCAATCCCAATCGTCAACAAGTGGTTGTCCAGCAGGTCGAACACTCTGCAGCACCTCATTACCTTTTTCGACTCCAAACAGAAGCTCTCCAAGACGTTTTACGTTGTTATCCACTTGACTTCTTTGTGCTACAACCTCATTAAGCTTCCGATCAGCTGCAAATTCCTCGTTAGTGCCTTCAGGAGCACCTTGGTACTGTCAACATTAAGAAAAATCGAATCAGTTTTTTTCCTATCTTATAATACGTGCAACACACATACCAAGTGACCAGTTAAAATGAATCGGAATCAATCATGTGGGCAAGGAAGAAAAAACAACATACTTTGGATGTCAAGTAGAAAAGTTCAGTGTCACGTTGGTTCACATTTTCTGAGGATGTCAAGAATGACGCGGCATCCATGGGACTGGGAGCAGCTGCCATGGGACTGGGAGCTTGACTATGGCTTGTGGAAACAGAACCCATATACTGGAAAAGAGCATCAACACTTAACTCCATATCACCATATTGCATGACATGGGAACCATATGTTAGGTTGGCTGCAGTTCTGCATGCAATCTGAGCATGTCCATATGATGAAATCATTAGTTTTCCTTTAGAACAGGCAATACAAGAAAGCATGAATCAATATAGCATAAAGTATTTGAACCTGTGACAATATTATGATCTTCAAGTTTTTGAACAAGTTGCTTACAAATATACATTAGTTGAAAGTATTACTAGCTCTCTTACCCTGTCATACTGGTTATCCAACGTTGAAGTTTGTCGATCTTGGACATCACTGTTCAGAGTTGCAAACAGCAATCAGTTTGGGCATAATTAACGAAAGATGATTTTAAATGTCATCTTGTAAGTTTAAATCTTGAATCAGACTCTCGAGGGGACAAGAATAAAGTTGTGCATACCTGTCTTCCATCCAAGCAACACTGTACAAGTCTCCCAAGCAAACACCGTCAAACTCGGGAGGAGGACACTCAACTAAACAAGCACCACGACCCAAACCACAATACGTTCCCCAACTGTTTTCATCTGGTTTTGATGCAGTCGTGACATAGATATTTAGACCTTCGGGAAGAAGACCATCAAACATGCTTCCCGACTCACAAGCTTCCAAGTAAAATACCTAAAAATTTAGAAACATCATCCAACATAAAATTAGACTACACGTTTCACTGGAATAAAAAAATTCGTGCCAACGAAACGATGGACTTAAATAGTAAAGACCGGCATAAGATAGTTACCATTTTACTATATGTCCCAGAAGCATGCTTCTTTTCCAACACGTTAATCAGATCGTTCGCATAGACAATTCCAGTTGGCATTGCTGGTAGTTGTAACAAAAGCATGAAACAAATACTTTGATTAGTTTCCAGTATGATAAACACCAGGTGATATTGAAGATAACAAAATTAGTGAATGATAATAAAAAATTTGGAATTCCCACAAGTAAAACTTCAATTTAGTATGTGAATCCATTGTGACAACAAACATATTAAACTAGGCAAAAGTTATGCGGAATACAAAGAGAAATTATGCGAGGAAGCTACTTACAGACAATTCCAGGGCCACCATGATCAGTATAATAGATGAAAATATTGTCATTTGGGCCACTGTCCAAAATTTTCCCACTACCCCTAGTGATACCACTTTTGTTGGCAAGTATAACATTGAAAAAATTGTCAGCATTAACATCTTCACCCACATAATCCTGCCTCAACAAAAAAAAAACTCATAAGCAATTACACGTTATAATCTTGGGGATAAAATTTAAGGAATTTTAGCTCGAAAGAGAAAAAAACAAACCTTAGGAACACCTTGATAAACATCTTGACCGTGTGGGTTATTGATGAGGACTCCAGGTCTGGGGTTCTCGCTATTGTTAGCAATATCATCGTACATGAATACGATGATGTTTTCATCTTTCAGACCTCCTTTCTTCAGTAATTGGTATGCGTGACATACATCAGCCTGAAAAATAAAAAATAAAATTCATATTTCTCTAGCGTAAAATTATAGTTTTTGTTTTTAATCTTTCCTATGATTTACGTATACTTGTGATAGTAGGCGATATAGTTGATATTTACACCTTAATATGACCATACTTTATTGTTGTTTTATAGATAAATTGCCAACAAAATGCTCTAAATAGTGTTCTTTTGTTTAGCCGGGAATATTATAGGAGAGGAAGCAACATAGAGTGTTTTGGAGGCGATAATGTGAAGAAACACCCACTCGAGAAGTACCCGAACACAAAGAAGCATAAATGGCCTGGGCAAGAAGGCCACCGCGACCGCGTTGGCACCGCGGTGAACCGCGACAGGTTACTGAAGTGAGGCAGAAAGGTCAGCTTTCACTGCGGTCGACCGCGGTTGGCCGCGACCGCGGTGCACTGTTCACGCAGCTGGAAGTTTGAGGACCAAAGTGTAATTTCGGGGAAACTTTTGTAAAACCCTTTTAAGCTTTAGAAACTCGCCCAACTGAAGGGGGAAGCTAATTTTAGACTACTTTTAGAGGAAGAACAAGTGTGAGAAGATCAACAAAACATTAGAGTTTTTCTATCTCCTTTTAAGTCTTGCAATTTTACTTTATGAACAATTTAGTAGTTTTATCTTGTTTTGTTATGAGTAGCTAAATACTTATCTAGGGTTGATGGAACCAATTATTGGTTGAAGTTTTGACTCAAGTTGTTATAATCGAGCCGGATTTATGATATGATTGTTCAACTATGTTTTGTATGGTGATTAATTGAATGGGTCCTTGATTAATCGTGTCTAACTACCTTATATTGCTTGAGAAAGAGTATTAGCTTAGACAACAGTTGAACAATACCACTTTTGGGTAATTGAAGAGATTCATTACTTGAACTTAAAAGTGGGTTTAGAGATAACAAAACTTTGGTGGGATACTTTAGAGTTGCATAACTATTGTCAGCTAGAGTAGTTCGAGAGAATGCTCAAGTAAATTGTTGTAGTTGATCGAGAGATAATTGTGATAACCCATAGCTCTTAATCCTCATAGAGTATTATGGCGAGATTATAGCGGAAGAGTCAGGACCTAAACTAGCAATTGGAGAAATCACTGACCTAGACCTTTTTACCATTGAATTATCTTTGTTTTAGCTTACCGTTGTTTTTAATAGTAGTCGAAGTAGTTAAACAAAAACTCAATCATTATTGATCAAAAAATCTTGCATCTAAAGATTGATTGAGTTTATAATAACATTACCGAAGAGGGTAATAGATAGGTTAGTTCCTTGAGGATTCGATTCCGGACTTAAAAACCGGATTATATTTGCAGCGACCGCTTTGTCCTTTAAAATGCATAGTTGGGTGTTATCAAATTTTGGCGCTGTTGCCGGGGAACTAACGGTGTTATTTATTACAACTTAAAAGTAGTGTTAAAATTATTAGTTCAAATCAAATTTCAAAGGTGTTAAACAAATTTTCATTGAAATTCTAACGTTTGAACTCTTGTGGAATTCAGGTGTATACATAGAAATTCTTCGAGGACTGGAGAACTTCTTGAAGGACTTTCAGACCCCGAGAAAACATTTAGGGCATTGAACCATGCCAACAGGAGGATCCAACAAATACAACAACCACACCAGCTTGAATTTGACATGGGTGACGTAGAGAACGTCAACGGAATCAGGGATAAGCCAGCTGACCCAAACGTCAGAGTGGTGACACCTCTTGTGCTAGAAGCTGCACTTTATGATTGGGCTCAATCCACAGCTGACAACCTGGCAACTGCCATAGTTGTGCCCGCAATTCAAGCGGAGACATTCCAGATCACCAACAACATGCTGCATCTGCTGCAGAATAAGGGATTGTTCTCCGGGTCACACATTGAAGACCCTCAGCAACATTTGAAAAATTTTCTGTCAATATGTGTGACTCAAAGGCAGCCAAATGTGACCCAGAAGCTATCAAACTATTACTGTTCCCGTTCTTTGTGACTGGGGAAGCTCAGACTTGGTTGAATTCGCTACCAATCAATTCCATTGTCACCTGGGAGGAATTAGTAAAGCAGTTCCTAAATAAGTTCTACCCGCCCAACAAGACTGCAAGGCAGATTGATGAAATAATGCAGTATAAGCAGCAGCCGACTGAGACCTTGCAAGAAACATGAGAAAGATTTAAAGGGATGCTGGTGAAGTGTCCTCACCATGGCATTCCTGACCAGATGCTTGGCCAGAGATTCTACATGGGGTTAGCTGACAATCTAAAGGCCAATGTGGATGCTTCAGCTGGAGGTGCATTTTTGAGTAAGACATTCACCAAGTGCAAAGTCCTTCTTGACAAGATGTCTTAGAATTCGGGGTGGATGACTAGAGGGACAACACTGGCACCCATAGTGCATTCAGTTCCTCTTGACCCAAATAATTCGCATGCAAAAAACATGGCCACACTCATGACTCAGATGAGTATTTTGACAAAGAAGATAGATGGGATGGGTACCAAACAGGTGCATATTGTTGACACGACAAATGAAGGACTGTGTACACCTTGTGTTAATCAGTCTTATGTGTGTTCATGGAGCAGAGAAGGTGAAAATCAAAGGGCAAGGGAAGATATGAATTATGTTAACAACTTCGGGGGTTAGAGACAAGGAGGACATCAGCGGAGACCGACATCAAATCAGCAATACAGACCTAACATGCCTCAGCCTGGGGGCATGCAAGTTTAAGGCCAAATGTTGCCATACCACCAGAGACAACAGGGCTACCCACAGCAGAACCAGCAACAGTTGACATATCAGCCACCTCCTCAGCAGCAAGATAACAACATGGTAGAGATCAGAGGGATGCTCTAGCAACTCATTGGGATAAATGGTAAGATGCAAGAAAAGTTGGCAGTACATGATTCAGCTATAAAGAACATTGAAACTCAGTTGGGGCAGTTGTCTATGGCTTTAAACAACCGCACCAAGGGAACATTGCCAGCGGACACAAATATTAACCCCAAGGAGCCAAACCCGAATCAGTTGATGAAAGTAAGTCTTCGGAATGGGAGAGATTTAGACAAAGATCAAGAGGTTGCACAAGCCAGCAAAGAGACTACGCCAGCCACTCCAATTCTACTAGAGGTAGATAAACCATCTAATCTGACTGAAGTGGTGGTTGAACAAGGTCAAGATGAAAAGGGTAAGGCTAAGGTAAATGAACAAGCTACAGAGCAGGTGGTGCCTTTTGTGCCATAGAACCCCCAACAGAGAGAAGCCAACAAACAGTGCACAAAGGGTGATACTAGCACTATTCCCTTAGACACTGGTAAAACAAAAGAAGGAAGATCAATACAAGAAATTCATGGAGATGCTGTGTCAAATTCAGTTGAATATTCCTTTGATAGATGCCTTGAGGGAGATGCCAGGTTATGCGAAGATGATGAAAGACCTAATGTCATGGAAGTTTAATTTTCAGGACCTATCCACAGTGACTCTGATGCAGACCTGCAGCGCAGTAGTGACCAAACCGATGGCTCAAAAGATGTCAGACCCAGGTAGCTTCACTATTCCATGCACAATTAGGAGTTATGCCTTTGCAAAGGCATTATGTGATTTGGGAGCCAGCATAAATTTGATGCCTCTGGCTGTATACACCAAACTGGGCATTGGCAGAGCTAGACTGACTTTGATGCTGCTGCAGCTGGCTGACCACCTGGTAAAAAGGCCTACTAGGATTCTTGATGATGTGTTGGTGCAAGTGGGGAAGTTCGTGTTCCCTGCAGACTTTGTTATTCTGGACTGTCAGGTAGATGAGGAGATATCTATCATTTTAGTAGGCCATTTTTGGCCACTGGGAGAGCAATGATCGATTATGAGACTGGGGAATTAAAAATGAGACTGAACGATGAAGAAGTCATATTCAATGTTTAGCAATCGAGGAGACCCAGTGAATATGCTAATTGCTCTCTAGTGGAGGCAGTGGATATGATTCAGCAAGAAGATGATGTGACCCTGACTGCTAAAGATCCATTGGAGGCATGTCTGACAAATTTAGAAGAGATGGATGGTGAAGGGTTAGCTGAGTGGGTCATGGCACTTGAAGGCCAAGGATTCTGGAAAAGGGACCCTCAGTTCGAGTCCCTGGAGTTAGAAAAAAGGGCTACACCTCCAGTAAAGCCATCAGTAGAGGAACCACAGCTCCCAGCTCACCTCAGGTACGTTTTCTTAGGCCCTAATTCTACTTTGCCTGTTATTTATATCATGCGGTTTGCTAGATGTGCAGGTAGAACAGCTCTTACAGGTACTGCAGGAAAGTAAGACTGCCATTGGCTGGACCATGACAGACATAAAGGGTATTAGGCCAGCCTTCTATATGCACAAGATTCTCTTGGAAGAAGGGCAAAAACCTTCTAGAGAACATCAACGAAGGCTGAACCCGAACATGAAAGAGGTAGTAAAGAAGGAAGTGATCAAATGGTTAGATGCGGGAATCATCTTCCCCATCTCTGATAGCAATTGGGTCAGGCCTGTCCAATGTGTGCCGAAAAAGTGGGCAATGACTGTTGTGCAAAATGAGAATAATGAGTTGATCTCAACTCGCACAATCACGGGATGGAGGATTTGCATAGATTACCGAAAATTGAATACATCCACCCAGAAGGACCACTTCCTCTTGCCCTTCATTGACGAAATGTTGGACAGGCTGGCCGGGCGCTCGCACATTTATTTCTTGGATGGTTATTCGGGGTACAATCAGATATCAATATCCCCCGAAGATAGAGAGAAAACATCATTCACTTGTCCGTATGGCATCTTCACCTTTCGGAGAATGCCTTTTGGGCTTTGTAATGCACTGGCGACATTTCAACGGTGCATGTTAGCTATTTTCATAGACATGGTGGAGGATATTATGGAGGTCTTTATGGATGATTTCTCTGTGGTGGGAGATTCATTCGAGGTCTGTCTTCACAACTTAAGAAGAGTGCTCAAAAGATGTGTGGAGACAAATTTAGTGTTGAATT